TTTTTGAGGCCGCTAGACAGCTTTTCTGAATACTCCTCCAAGCTGGGGAGTTTCCGAGGCAAGCGGGGGAGAGGTCAGGTTAGGGAAACCTGGCCCCAGACCCGTGGTGGTATTTTACCGGTTTGGCCCGGTTCAACTGAACCATTAGTAAAAAATGCTACCGTTTCGGCCGAGCTGGTATTTCCAACTATCGGCTGGGTGACCATCAGCTGTGTTGTGCGATTTGGATTAGCTAGAAAGCAGGAAATCATCGGATTTCTTGCTTTCTGGCAAATCTAAATCGCGCAGCACAGCTGATTTCCCCCCCTCGCTTCAAAATGCTGCTTTTTCCAGGGCTTCCCTGAGGCCCACTAGGCCAAAAATGGAGCATGGGGGTGGGGTGCTGCGCGGGCCCTCTGGGCCCTGTTCTTGCTCCCAGGAGGCTTCCCTGAGGCCCACTAAGGCAAAAACGGAGCGCTCGAGGGTGCTGCAAAAGAAAAAGAAGAGGGAGGGAGGGGAGAAAGAGAGGGAGGGAGGGAGCGGGGAGAGGGAGGGAAAAAGAAGAGGAAGGAAGGACCATAAACCTTGCCACTAGACCAAGAGTCTTCGAACTTGGCAAGTTTAAGACTTGTGGACTTCAACTCCCAGAATTCCTGAGCTAACATGACTGGAGGAGGAATTCTGGGAGTTGAAGCCCACAAGTCTTAAAAGCTGTCAAGTTTGAAGACCCCCTGCACTAGATGCAGCTTCAGAGGATGCTTTGAAACAGCACAGCCATCCAGGGCTGGAAGGTACCTGGAGGTAATCTAGTCCAAGCCCCTGCCCTGAAAATGAGTTTCTGTCTTTTGACCCCCCCGCCACCAGTCACATGACCATGTAGCCATGCCCACTCAGTCACATAGACCACATAGCCATGCCCACTGAGCCACGGCCACAGAACAGGTAGTAAAATCCCACCACTGCCACTGGGGTCCAGGAAGACAAAAAATGGAGCCTGGAGGGGGCCCATGGCACCCCACCTCGCTCCATTTTGGGGCCTTCTGGGCCTTGGGGAGCCTCCCGGGGGCGCATTTTTGCTCCCAGAAGACTCCCCTGGGGCTCAGGAAGGCAAAAAATGTGCCCCTCCCTCCATTTTTTTGCCTTCCTGTGCCTCAGGGAATCCTCCTGGGCGAAGCCGTATGACAAAATAGGGGAATCCCGGCACAGCTGATTGTCAGGAGGGAAAAGAAAAAGAAATGCCTTAAGGGGTGAGCATCAGGCAGGCAGGGTGAGAGAGCGTTGGGTGGGCGGGGCAAGCGAGCCAGCGGGGAGCAGGAGACTGGGTCGGGGGCATGGCCAGCCAGAACTTGCTACCGGTTCGCCTGAACCGGTGTGAACCAGCTCAATACCACCACTGCCCAGGGGAGCTTCCTGGGAGCAAAAACGACCCCCCGGGAGGCTCTCCTGAGGCCCAGAAGGCCCCAAAATGGAGCGAAGGGGATGCTGTGTGCCCCCTCCAGGCCACATTTTTTCCTTCCTGGGCCCCAGGGGAGCCTTCTGGGAACAAAATCCCCCTCCAAGGAGGCTCCCCTGAGGCCCAGAATGCCCCAAAAATGGGCATGCGGGGGGGGGGGGGGGGGGCGGGCCGAAAAAAAGCAAAAAAAAAGCCACACCCATCCAGTCACATGGCCATGCCCACCTAGCCACACCCACTGTTAGGAATATAAGTCACCTAACAGGTATTTGGGTTAGAAATATATAAACCAGGATAAACATTTTAGTACTATGTCTTTAAGAGATTGCAAAAACTGCAATTGGATGTGGTTTTTCAAACAGCCATAAGATGGAGCCAGAAACTTGGATTGTCTTAGTCTGAGTCTCAGAAGAGAATGTAAGTGTATCTCTGTTTCCTTCTGTTGGAAAGTATTGCCGTTCCTCCATTTCTTCTAATTGACTGATATTACTGGATTTAATGTAAGTCTGATACTGAACTGTTTTTGACACTGGAATTTGATATTTGGATTATCCCTGGATGAAAACTGCCTGATTTTACCTGTGAATGACTTTGGATTGCTTATTTTGGACTTTGCTTAAACCTTTCTGGAAGTAAAAACCTACATTTACTGTACAGTGTATCTGTGTGCTCTGTGTGTATTATTCAAACACTCCTCTCAAATACGTCTCCCTGCATGCGCTCATTCTCCTAACGGGGAATTACTTCAACACCCACCAAGCTACACTCAGAGAACCAGTAGTAAAAAGTTTTGAATCCCACTACTGGGCAGAACTGTGGAGGGTGAAAGCACTCGGAGAGCTCTCTGTTCACGGGGGAGGGGGGCTACATCCCTTTCAGACCCCGAAGAGCCCCCCCCCACAGTTGAGGATCAGGTGAAAGTCAAAACCCTCAAATGGCTCTGGGTGAAGGCATTGATGATGATGATGCTTTTACATTTCCTATGCTGAGTAAAATGTGAATAAGAGCCAGTGGCTTTTTTCCCCCAGTGCCTGGACCATCTTTCTTCTGTGGTCAGCTTTCCCCTGCGCGTGAGTGGAAATTAATCCCTGCCTCCCTTTTATGGGTCTATATTTCTACCAATGAAAAAAACCGAGGCCATTAGGGCAGGGGGTGGGGGCGGTGTCTTCAAACTTGAGAGCTTTAAGACTTGTGGACTTCAACTCCCAGAATTCCTCCTTCAGTCATGTCAGCTCAGGAATTCTGGGAGTTGAAATCCACAAGTCTTAAACTTGCCAAGTTTGAAGACCTTTGCGTTTAGTTGCAGGTGAGTCTCTGGAAACTGGCCACCTGCAGGGTGAGCCTCAAGTTAAGGTCATGCTTCTCCTCTGAGATTTGACGGATGCTGGCAAAAAAACAACAACCCAGAAAATAAAATACAAGCTGAATAGTCAAGACCTTGTTGATGATCCAAACTCTGTCAAGGATCTTGGAGTACTCATCTCTAATGATCTAAGTGCTAGAGCCCACTGTAACTACATAGCCAAAAATCCTGTGTAGCTTTTTCTCTGGTAATATCACACTACTAACTAGAGCATACAAATCATTTGCTAGACCAATACTTGAATACAGCTCATCAGTCTGGAACCCACATTACGTATCTGATATTAACACAGTTGAGAAAGTCCAGAAATATTTCACAAGAAGAGTTCTCCACTCCTCTATTCATTGCAGAATACCTTATGCCACCCGACTTGAAATTCTAGACCTGGAAAACCTAGAGCTACGCCGCCTTCAGTCCTATCTAAGTATAGTATATTGCAATGTCCTACCTGTCAAAGAGTACTTCAGCTTCAACCATAACAACACAAGGGCACACAATAGATACAAACTCAAGGTAAACTGCACCAAACTTGATTGCAGGAGATACGAGTTCAGCAACTGAGTGGTCAATGTCTGGAATACTCTACCTGACTCTGTGGTTTCTTCCCCAAACCCTAAAAACTTTAACCTTAGACTGTTTACTATTGACTTCACCCCTTTCCTAAGAGGCCTGTAGGGAGCATGCATAAGCGGACCAACGTGCCTACTGTCCCTGTCCTACTGGTTTTTTTTCCTTATATGTATCTATTTCATGTATTCATAACTATGTTATACTTATACCTGTTATCTTATAACTGCTTGACAAAATAAATAAACAAATAAACAAATAAACAAACAAACAAATAAATAAAAATAAATAAATAATAAATAAATAAAAATAAATAAAAATAAATAAATAAATAAATAAATAAAATCTGGAGGGAACACCTTGTCCTGCTGCCAGAATTGGGTGGGTGGGGGGAGTGGAGAAGAGCAGGAAGAGAGAGAAGGAGAGTGAAAGAGGGAGAAACAGGGTGGGCTGATGGGGTTTCGCAGGGGTTCAGGAGAACCCCTAGTTTAAGATTCTGTGCAGTCCGGAGAACCTCCAAATCCCACTCCTGGTTGGCCCTGCCCACCCCACCCCTCTCCTCCCAGGAATACCCACGCAGCCCATTTTGGATGCAGGTAAGTGCAGGGCGTTCCCGGAGCTTCTGGGAGAGCGAAAAACGGGCCTTTCGGAACTTCAGAAAGACCAGAAATGGGCCCGTTTCCAGCTTCCAGAGAGAGCCTCCGGAGCACGAGGAGGCTGTTTTCTTCCTCCTGGAGGATTGAGGAAAACCTCTGGAGCCTGTGGTGCCAGAGGCCGACCAGGCCACACCCATCATAGCCACGCCCATCCAACAACCTGGCGAAGTTCCCCTTTTTTCCCGCCTTTTTTTTCTGTTTGCTCTGTGTGCTTTGTGATTTATGATGCCGCTGTTTGCCTATCTTGTTTGCTATAAATATTGATTTAAAATATATTCATTTATATAAAACCACAAGTTCATGTGTCTCTGACTTCATTGGGGCACCTGCTGTGCAATTCCCTGACACCATCCATAAATAGCAGTTAGAAAAATTCAGTTTCTTGAACGCTGCACAGAGTATATTGATTATTTGCAAAAGTTTGGATTATCTAATGTATGGTCAATTAACTGTCCAATAATTAATATATATATACGGTATTAACTACTTTAGTGGCAGAAAATCTCAGAATGCATGCTTCTTTTTTAATAATAATTTTATTGGAGATTATATTATATAGTTTAAAACTGATACAAAGAAAAATAAAGAGACAGAAAAAGAAAGTTCTCCTTTCAATCCCATGATGTATGATAAAGTATGGTAAAGATTAACAATTTATCAATTTCTCTTAAAATAAAAGCAAGCTACTCTTTATCCCATTCCTCACCCCGTTCTTTATAAATCTATATCTAAAACCTCATCTCTCCATGTTCATCAGGAAAAGCCCATTAAAGGTTATCAGCAATAAAAAACATAATTATTAAAAAATAATTATATTAAACCCCGATTTAAAGCCTTTTGATTCCACGATTATAAACACATAAGATTTTCTTTTCATAAAATAACAGAGTTGGGAGAAACCTTGGAGGTCATCTAGTCCAACCCCCTGCTCAAGCAGGAGAGTCTATTCCAAAATCAGCCTCTACCTAAGATCAAACTCACAGCCTCCTGATTGTGAGGCGAGAGCTCCACCTCTAGGCCAACTGAGCTGCTCCTGTGTTCTGCAATCATAATAATCATAATGTTCTACTCCATTCCTCAATCATAATAGAAAAAGGTTACTGATTCCATGATAAAAGCAGTGACAAAAGACTCCAGATATATCCTTGTTCCACCATGCAGGATGGGCCTGAAGGGCTCCTCCTAAGAGTCTAGCCTAATTCAGAAGATTGATCCCATCTTCTCTCCTCTTTCCTCGTGATGGGAATTGTCCACTCGTGCTGCAAAGAGGAGGGAAAAAGCAGGCAGGGTCAGTCTGAGAAGAAGCCGAGTGTCAACTCATAAAATATTTCTCTGGTCTTTTTAGAGTTGCCAACAGAAAGGGATGGGGGAGCAGTGTACCAGCTTGCAAAATCCAAGGCAGTCACATCCCGAGAGGTACCATAATTTGGCCTTGCAGAATAAGTGTTTGGGGGGGACGGACAGGTAGACTCCTTCCCACAGCCACATTGCCTCCCCCAAATTCTTACCCTTCAGTGTTCATGACGAATAGAAGAGGGCTTTCCAAAGTATTTTCACAATTAACTAGTCGTTAGACCTCCCTTCCTCCCTCTCTTCCCATACAGCCTCCACAAGGGCCACTCACCTGTGAAGGGGCTGCTAAATGGTCTGATTGTTCCCTGCATTGGAGAGAAAGACACAGAGTGAGTCTCTTTGTTCTGACCAAGGCTTCCTGAGACAGTTA